GCATCCACTATGATTGGCTTATTCCCGGTCTCCTGTCCTTTCCCTCTCAATTATAAATGGGGCTGGGAGTCCGGGAAGCTCGGCCAGTTGTGTTCTGCCTGTCGCACAGACAACAACAAGCCGGTGGACCTCCTGCAGTGGCCGTAGTTTCTTCCAGTGGGCTTCAGCCATGAACAAGCTACTCGTGAGTGGCACTTCTACTTTGATTCGAGAAACTAAGCGATATTTCAGGCAGAGGCATTAGAACTTTAAAAAAAAGGCGACGGTGGCATTCATTGAGATCGTCGATGCAATGAATGTGCACGAGGTGTGGAGGCTGACTTTTTTCGCCACACTTTTTGGCGCCTTTTTTTTTCCGAATACCTCTACCTGGAATGTCTCTGAATTGTTTGAGGTAGTATATTTTGTCGTCCTTTCGACGCTCCACTGTGCCGTTGGTATTCTAACAGCGAAAATGCTAAGCCTAGGGTGGGGCGACGCTGTTTTCATGCATCTTCCGAATCCGAGAAGTCTTACGTCTCTTGTTCTTCCGAGCATATCGAGAAGAGAGTCATGCACAGAAGCCACGAGGAACCCCTCGGGGGCGCCCCGCGGTTTCCATAAGAAATACATTTTTCTTACATTTCCGCCGGAGTTCGATCCTCAGAGTCGCACTTTGATCCTCTATCACATGTCTCGACTAACAAAGGGAAGAGCATAAAGAATTCAATCGAAAGTGAGAATAGAGCAACCGAGAACTATCGGGGATACCAGTTCTTAGAACGTTCTTTCTAGAGCACCTAGAAGGTGTCGGCACTGAAAAATTGGGTCAACGTCGAGTCGGTTTCATCCCTTAGGTGACCTGTCTGGCCGTCAGCCTCTGCTACGTGATGGGAGAACCCGACCCTGACCCCGATCCAGGCAAGGGAGGAGGCGGAGGGTGAGTTTCAGGCTGTTCCTCTCTTTGCCTTGAGTCCTGTTTGCTTTTCTTCTTGGAGTTCGTTTGCAAGAGGTTTTTTTCGCGGTTGTTTGACTGCGATGGGTTCGCAGTATGTACGGATTGTCGCTGTAGAAGGAAAACTTGTCGAACTTCAAACTTGTTAACAACCCATCTTGCTCCGAAAATTTTTTTCTAACTCTGGTTGAATGCGGGGAAGTGTAATTAAATAACGTGTTCAAACAATTTCATGTTTAAGAACTTAAAAATAATTTTTCTTTATGTTAAAGTAAAGTAAAGAAGGCCCAAAAAGTCAGCGTTAAAAAGAATTGCAATCATTTGTATGTTGTAACATACAATTATGGATCAGTGAGGTCGCAGCGTTTCTCGCCTGTTGACTAATGGGATCGGCGTGAGACCGGTTCCCATTCACTGTCATTGCCGCGTGGACTAGTCAAGCGTGCCGAACGGGGGCGAACAAATCCTGACGGAAGCAAGAGCCACAGTTTCTTCCAGAGGAATAGATTTATTTCTTCTCATTCGGTTCATCTCGATTCGCGGTTTTTCGGCGGCAAGTCACGGAAGGGAATTGCCGAATGTGGAAATTCAATGTCTCGTCCAGCCCCACGACGGGTCTTACACTGATACATTTTTCCTTTCTACGAGAGAGAGAAGCAGCGAAGGAGGGTGGTGAGTCCATCCAAGAGTCTAAATTAATGACCGAAGCCGCAGGGGAGCCGGGCCGTGTTCCGGCAGACGTAATATCCGCGAGACCCTGCGTGTGGATATCCTGGGAAATTCGGGGAAGCTGGATACACTGGGGCGTTTCACTTTCACTCTCCTTGTTCTCTCTTTCTACTTGGATGACAACATCCGCCTCCCTCCCTCCTTGTTCTCCTGATGAAAGTATTCAGACGGAATGAATGCGTCAGACGATAAAGCCACGCAGGCTTCGGTCGCGCTAGAAGAAAGCGATCCTCGTTGATGCATTCCGCGATACTCATCTTCCTCCTGTATCGGTGGCTTCCTTTCGATGTCCTGGACGAGCGGGAGATTCTGCCTGCAATTCCCGCCGCCCGCTTGGCTCAGATGGCCAACGGCTTCCTTTCCATTTGGAAAGCTGCACCTAGCATAACTTCATACCGTTTCGATAGCTCTTAATAGATAGTACCATGCTGCAATAGAGAAATGAAGCATATGAAACGACCTCATACAACGCGAAATCTGGCATTATTCCCAATTAAATGTTTGCTTTCCAGAGTACATTGCATCAATACCACATAATTGGCCATGCATCATTTCCTTCACGCAGGTATGGGGGTGGCTATGGTGGTTATGGTGGCCACGGAATCGGGGGCTACGGCGGTGGTGGTTACGGAAGTAGCAGCAGCAGCTCTGGAGGAGGCTACGGGGGCTACGGTGGTGGGGGATATGGAGGTGGCGGTTACGGCTCCTCCAGTAGTTCTTCCGGAGGCTACGGAGGCGGGGGCTACGGTGGAGGTTATGGGAGTAGCAGCAGTTCTTCGGGTGGATATGGCGGTTACGGCGGAGGGAAGGGAGGTGGAAAGGGAGGCGGAAAGGGAGGTGGAAAAGGCGGCGGATTGAAGGGTGCCTTCAAGAAGATCGGGCTACTCTTTAAGAAAGCTTTCAAGAAGGGAGGAGGAGGAAAAGGAGGCGGTAGTAGCAGCGGTGGCTACGGCGGCGGCTACGGTAGCTCCAGTTCCAGCTCAGGAGGGTACGGCGGCGGATACGGCGGATACGGCGGATACGGAGGATACGGAGGAGGGAAAGGCAAGGGAGGAGGAGGAAAAGGCAAGGGAGGAGGATATGGAGGCTACGGTGGTGGATATGGAGGCTATGGTGGTGGTGGATATGGTTCAAGTTCTAGCTCTGGAGGAGGGTACGGTGGCTACGGCGGTGGCCACTATGGCTAGGTCATCGGCTGGAGGACTCTGGACATAGCTTCCCACAAACTTCATTCTGGTAAGAAACTCCATACTTCCTTTGTGGTACTTAGTGCATTCAAGCTCTCGTGGAACCTCTAGGACTACGCTTATCCTATGACAAGACGATTGTAGAAAAAGCACGAAATATAAAAATGAAATAAGTACACTGTTGTGATTCTCTTCTCATCTCTCTATCCCAGCTCCTCATGTTTTTGCTCTCTTTCTCTAGGCAGTCTGTGGGTCGAGACGCTTGACCTCCGCGGCACACCTCCTGCCTCGAAACGGATTAAATGAGGACAAACCCGGGAGAGTTACCAAGAAACCTTTCTTCTAATTTTCACAAGATCAGCACCCCCTTGTTTTTCATTTCTCGATCACCTTGCTCAAAGAAGCGCTATTCTCGCTATCGAGGCTGTCAAGCGTCGGGTTGTGTCCAGGTTTTCTCCCCCTCGACGCTAGTCAGTCATGCATCAATTCTGAATTTGTATGCCAAGCCCTCCTCTATTTTTTCCCGGGTATTTCGGGTCCTCTGACGCTCGCCTTCTTGTAAAGCTGATTCTCAGGATCCTACTTACTCTTGTTTGTTACTTCCTCGACACGTTTTTTTTTTTTACTCATTTTCAGGTGCTTTGTTTGGAATTGTGTAAGAATGAAGAATGACAACGTTCTTCTCACATGTCACGCTTGAGGTTTCATTTGAAAACGCTTATGATTCGAGTCAGGATATTTTTCTTTTCTGTATTCCAGAATTAAACGGTGGAATTCCATCAAGCCACGTTGGTTCATTGCCCACTCATTAGCAGCATTTCTCAAGTGCTCAATGTGGAGGCTCCTAATTCGATCCAGACCCGTATTCATGAGCAATGCAGCTTAGATGAGCAATCATATGCCCTTTAAGTGCACGTCATCTTAAGTACAGATCGACTAAAAGTCTCCAAATAGGTATATGACACTGTAGTATCAAAACTATGCACTGCAGCTCAATAGAACTTAGGGAATAGCATCACGAAATTCGTAGGGAACGTTACACGAGAGAAACGCATGCTTCATACGGTGAGATGAGACATTAACAGACATAACAGATCCAGCATATAAAAAGCAGATGTGAAGTGCTTAGCCTATCGTGGCGCCTCTGCAATCAATTCATGTAAGTAAATTATCATTGCACAACTAAAAATTCATACAAGTCAGCATATTTACAGACCACTCGAGAACCGCTTGCTAGAGCTTCCCGACGAGTTTTATAAGCTCATCCGTGGCTGCACCTCCTGTGTGCGCAAACGACGTCGCATCAGCTGCGCCCTCTATGTCGTATATGCTTCTTTCATGCAGGGTTCTCCCCCGTGTTATGATACAATTCATCAAGTTTCAGTGAGCTGAGGTCCATAGTTTTCAAGTTAAAGTACAAAGCATCCGTCAAGTGACTTTCATAATCACCCTGTACATCGAGTAGGGCAAATCTGGGAATTCCGCAACACTCGTGAAACTGGCGGGTAATTCCGCAACACATCACTTGTCCACTATTATCATTTTCCTGTATGAGCCTCAATCAGTACCCATCTAGTTTAATGGATAGTGCCATATGTACTGTGACATCACTGCGATCACAGCTCTTTCGTCTCAACTGGGTAATTAATGACGTGTGGACAACGGAAGCAAGGTGCTCCACCTCGCTGAACGAGTCGAACATTATCTATAAATTTATTTTAGGGCATATGGCAATGTAGATTACACCTCCATTCAGTCCTTTGATAGTCTTAGGATCGAGTAAGAGGTGATTGACACACATAATTCATTAAGTATCAGCAATGCAGACGTTGCGGATTTGCCCGATCGGAAAATGAACCATCGGTGAATTCCGTAACTTCTTGCTGGGACATTTCCTGTATTCTCCCGACGGCAAGGTTTTTAATTTCGCACTCTTATTGCTCGGTCTTCTGTCGTGCTTATGCATGTCGCATCCGACTTTCAATTCATAATTACCTATAATAAATTGGATATTGCCATTTTTGCAAAGTAATGTGAAACCGCAAAGGTTAAACCGAAAACGCAGCAAGAGCCAGAGGACAAAGGAAAGAGCCAATAACAATCAGCAAGAAGGATAGGACAAACAATAAGTATTTGCAGGAAGATCAAGATGCGGCAATTAACGCCACAAAGTCTGGCGGGATGGGCTTGCGTGGGACTCCAACTCCAAAATGTATGGTGTGCCACGAACAACCATAAATGATAATAGAGGGCTGCCAAATAATGTTTCAACATTGGAAATCGAGGGTATGATAATTTCACTGTCTTGAAGTAAAATATCACCAGGATAGTTTATGGCATGCGTTGGAGGTCCTTCCCCTTTTAAACACGCCTTGAGGCCCCCACTTTCTTTTCCGCCGAAAAAAAAAACTAGAGAAAAGACAAAGAGGCCCTTTACTTGTCATAGGGAATCTTGGAGACGTTCTTTTTCGCTTCGTTCGGTTGAGATTTTTTTTTTTACTTTATACCTGAATTCCTGGCAAATCTGAACATGGGAAGAACTATTATCAATAATTGCCAAAGTTAAAGGCATGAAAACTAATAACTTCGCCCTTGAAGGGCGAGGGGACAAGGAATAAGTAAGGGTTGCGGCTTTAGCAGAAGGGTTGCGGAATCAGCCGAATGCTCATTGGGAAGGATGATCACGACAAAATTGAACCCTGTAAATTCTAATGAGAATTCTAATCCTAATTATGATCCTTCCGTGCTTCGAGTCACCCGATTCGTCTTTTCCTCACGTTTCATTGAAGGTATAATACAACATAGTCATTTGCACACAGACGCCGTCGGCTCCAGTGAAGCAAGGGAATGGATAGTTGGGATCCAAAGTCGTTGCGGAATTTACAGATTTGCCCTATGCATCGAACTTACTTCCTTTTCACTCTACCTTGGCATGCCATAAATTTCCAAGCGATTATTTTGAAAGAGTGAATCGTAAGGATAATCCGTCAAGGTGAATGTCCTGCTGGAAGACCCCTCTGGGTAGAGCAAACAACGTTATTAAAGGTCTCAAGAAAACTATCCCTAATACCTTATGAGAAGTGCAACGACAAGGTGCAACCATTTCAGTTCGGTCTGAAACCGAAGTCACCTGGGGACTGGTCAAAGTTAAAGACACTTAACCTGCTTGAAAATGTCCGATGGCTAACGCCCTTGTAACGTTTCCCAACTTTCGTTCTTGTCCCGTGCCACCGAATGCCATTGAGTGGCTCAATCATGCGGCTCATGGCCATGCTTACCTATGATGTATAGAAATGATACTCGTTGCCTCTGGTGAGAACCTTATTCCTACGAGTGGACCGTCTGACGGACTTCAGTCCTGGTTTCCTGCCCTCAGCAGAATATATCAGGTCATCCCATAAGTAATGTCGTTTTTTTCTCTGTTTTTCAAAATTAAAATACACCTGCATCGCATCAAGTTTCAATCAAGTATATATTCCCCTAATTCCATGGGATGTTCGCAGATACATGTATAAAGAAGACACAAGTAAGGCTATGCCAGAAAAACATTACTTATGGGATGACCTGATATGATACTTGTTCCATCTCTCGGCAAAACACACTTCAGATAACGCAGAAGGGCGCCCCGCCCCCCCCCCCTCATTCCACCATGAGAACGATTTACGTTCCCATCAAGATGAATTCAGACACGGATGTAATTCCTTAAACATGAAAATTGCTGTAGTTGACCATATTGTTACATGCTATTATCATTTGCAGTAATTAAAAAAAGTACAGTGCTCATCTGCCTAAGGGCTGTAATACTATATTCAAATAAAATAACGGGATTGATTCCAGAACATCCAAATGCAGAAGAACACAGAACTTCGCGGAGAATCAAATAACTGGGATTTGGACCAATATGTTCACGGGATGGCTTCTGCACGGTCTCGTACAGTGGTTAGTGCGAGGCCTGGGCACGGTTTGTACGTGCAACTCATTTTAGTGGAATGATCCGTATGTTGAGATATGCGAGTCGAACGTCAACTTATGCATGAGGTTAGGCAAGACTGTCACAGATACGAATTCCGTGTTATGGCAGGCATGCAGGGATTACATGAAATGAAATTATATGATTATATATGTTCACGTGCTGAAGTGGCGTTGCCGGTTCAAAGATGATCGCGAGTCTCTAAAAGATGATCCATGGCCGTCGAGGTCGAGGAATCGGCCTACCGGAACATTATGTACGCGTCGATGGCAGTCTTGCCTAACTGTACAAAGCACTTCAGGTTCACTCCTTGTTCAACGTGCATGTTCCATTTAAAAACGTCGCGCCTATGAGCTGTCTCCAAGCCTCGCGCTGGTCACAGCACGCGACCACGCAGAACGCCACGTGGTGCGCACGCACGTTAGAGTACACCCCCAGCTTCGTGCTCCAGTGAAAGCGTTCCGTTTTATTTCATCTTCATCTATTCTCAAGTCAATCCGAAATATTTTTGAACCTACTACGTACACTGAAGAAAAATTAATCCAGCAATTAGAGCTTAGCACTAAGATGCTTTTTCGCAGCATAGACTTTATGCCACACCTGCAAAAATACGGACGTATTGGAGGAGAGCATCCGGGATCACCCAGTTTCTTTGTGCAGAAAAAAATTCAAAATATTCAAAGCAAGAGTTATCATTGACAAGTCTTGAATCTTGATCGTTCTTTTCCTTGAAATCTCAAACCATAACATGAGCCATACATGAAAGTTTTTTTTCCATGTATGAACTTCGCATTTGTACAGTAGCCAATGGAGCCAATAATGGCGCGATTGCAAAGTTCAGCAAAGTCGTACTCCTACCTTCCGATGTTTTCATGACGGAGAGTATCCATTGCCCTCGTCAATTCATGGGATAAGCACGGGAACCGATAATACCGGTTTCAAGGCAAGGCATCATGCAATGTACTCCTGCAATAATTGAGGTAAGGTGATGGAATGAAGTCATTGAATCATGGCATGAATAAAGTAAAAAATATGCAGTATGGATGGATGAACCATGAGTGAAGCAGAACGAATGACTGATCTCAAACAAGAACTGAGTATTTATTGCTTTGCTTCCACTAAATAACAAAATGCATGCCAAAATGCAATTGGATGCATGATTGAGCTAACATGGAAATAAGCAATAACTAATAATCAAATGAAACCAGCACTCCTACCAAACTCTCAGCAGCATCAGATTTATATAACTGAAAAGAGAAAACACTTTTTTAATATTAATGTTACTAAGATAAGTCAGGGGAAGAGCAACTCCCTGCAAAAGCAAAGTCTATGAAAAACTCAAAAAGAGTCAGTGGAAGAACTCCTAGTTCCATTGCATATTACAAGTCTCCTTTCATTGTTATCACATATCAGTAAGGCTCCTTTAATAGTCTGCTGATAAGTAGCAGACCAATCCTGGGTTTTCTGAACCCTGAACCATCCCTTGCATTACAAGTTTCCCTCTGCTTTAGATCTTCTCTTGCATTCTTCAACTGGTCCTTATAAGCTGTTTGCAAACAATTCTATTCAAAATTCAATCACAAGAATATCTGAATGCACATTTCATCATATACACTCATATCCATGAAAGAAAGATGAGATGTTTCAGTAGTTCAAACAACTCAACAAAAAATTTAGACCATCTATGTATGAATCAGTTCTCATGACAGGTAACAAAGGAAATAAACTAGCTGCACTATCTCAGTAAAAGCAATTGGTTACCTGATGCCATTAGGGAGCACAGGATTTTTGGAAGGGGGAAGGGAGGTAGCTGAACAATGAATGGGGAGGGGGTTGTCATAAGGCTCATGAAGTTGATGATCATGTCCTTCCCCCTTGTACACATTACTGCCTAGTCCCTCTGTCTTGCACACAAATGTCATGTCTGTTGGAGAGTGGTTGGCAGTGGCAAAATAATGCCATACATCACTATTATCACTAAAATATTCTGCATTCATGCACCTATGCAAGCAAAATGATTTAAATCATCAAACATCTCATTCAGCTTGCAGAGACAATCCAGCATCCCAACATCAAGCCAAACTGTTCTGAAAGAACACTGGCAAGGCACTATACCCCTGTGATGACATTGGACTCATCTGGTTACTTTTTCCAAGTTTTTGTTTTCTAAGAGAAGGGATGAAATTTTCCTTTGAAAACTGCAGGTGCTTGTTAAAAAAGAACATTGGAGCATTAGGAGCCATGAGATTTAATATGGGTTTGATGAGGAGAGGAGGCTTCACCAGGAAACTGTAGAATCCCATATACCCCATAGAATCCACCCATCTCAACCATGATTTCCCATGCTGAAAATTTATATTTAATTTAAACATTTCAGCAAGCATCCCTTGGCAATTACTTGGATGTGTGCATGTCTGTCAGTTGTAAGTTTTTATCAGTTTAAAGGTATACTATTGCCTTCAAACTTCAAAGTTCTGAAGGAAAAAGGGAAAAGAGCTCATCATAGAGATCATTCAAAAAAGTGATTAACAGCATATTACATACTTCTGGGAACTTCAAAGCTGCAATTAAAAATGCAGCTGATGCAGGAAACAACTACTTATACTTTCAGCAAATTCAGCTTTCTCAACCAGTTTCCTATTGGCTGAGTAGAGCAGGCACAGAATGGTAGCAATCATTCCCAAGAGGGGGCTTCCAGGTTTTATAGGCTGCTATTAGTGGGTGGACCAGGTAACAATAGGATAGAACCCAGAAGATTCAGCAATTGAGCAGGCATAGATGTGCAACTTCAGCAACTTTTTATTTCACTCAAGCTGAGCTAGCAACAGCTTGATTTCAAAACGCAAACTTAAAAACAAGAGGCAGATACGTGCTATGGATTCATGACATACAAATTTGGACAGAAAGCTATTGTGTCTGAGCAAACTTGCTTATAAAGAGGCTGGAAATTGAGAATAAAAGTGAAAAACTCAAATTAAAAAAAAAATTGATGGCTTCAGTTCTATGTAAATTAATGGTACACAAATGTGGTTGACTTTCCAGAAGAGACAATTTCAACTCTGATATTGAAGGACTTGCCATATATGCCCTGGCTGTTGAACAACATTATGTAGCTTTCATGCAAAACTGGAAATACAAAACTGTATCAACTTTCTTCATTGTGGATATCAGGATTGACAGATTTAATAGAAGAAATAAAGATTTATTTCATGTAATAAAAAAAGTCAATTTAGTCAATCAAGTCATAAGCATTTCTAGGGCTTTCTTTACATACTAGGTTTGAAGAGAGAATGTAGCTTGGAAGTCTATGTGCATATTTTAAAAAATGCATGCAAAATTTCAATAGGGTAGCCTGGGGTAAGTGGAGACTTTCAACCAAATTTTTTTCTGATAAGGATCTTGCTTTGAAAATTAGTTGGCGCCTTCATCCAGGTGCTCCTCAGTTATAACAATGATTGTTCATACCATTGGATTGAAAATTAATCTGTGCATTGAAAAATCCTCCACCTCATTAAAAACCACTTAGTGACAGTGTTCCTATTCAACCTCTTCAAGTTCTTGACTTCATGATTTCTGATGTATGACTGGGAATGCAAATTATGTGAACACTTGAAAATAAAATAAGAGCTCTTTTCCTTAGTGCCTGCAAAATGAAAATGAACTCCTAAGTTTACTCACAGAGGGGGCCCCACTGACTGGTAGATTTCAAGAATTTAAGCAAGTGAGACATGGGACATAACCTGACTCATATTCCATTATTTTTGTTTCTACAATGACCTATTTATTCTATAATAATAATTAAAAAAAACTGGTAAAAGAAGCTGGGCATGGCAGTTACTCAGTAAACAACATGTGCTATATTATGTGGATCTGATTTTACTTTCTATATTGATTTTTTGCAAAATTTCCTACTCAAGGACATTAATAGCTTCAACCAATTGTGTCCAGGTCTATAATTGAGCTTTTCAAAAAATCCTTATTGTATTAGAAAAGGAGATGATAAATGGCCTTACATGGCCCAGGACCTGAGTAGCTCCAGTCAGTCATATCAGGATGTCAGTCCAGGACCCACTTACCCCATAAGGCTGGGGAAGTGGGATCCCTGAACTCATTTGTATCATTGATGGACTATGACAGCCAAAATTGTTCCCCTGGTGTGTGACACACAATATATCAATGCTCTCTGTGACCAAAAGCCAAAGTTGTTGAATATTTTTTGGGAGCAGAAGCCTGCAAAGAAAACCTAATGATTTTGGGGCCCCAAAAGCACCAGTCTACCTTAACCCTCTTAGTGCTGTGCTTTTGGAAGAGGGATGTTTGAATATGCCACCCATCTTTTCGCTGAAATCACGGCATTTTACTAAATATGCCCCACACTCCCCTGTCAGTCCTACCAGGAACCAGTATCAACAAAATTTCATGGGAATTTTCACACAACCAGGGCATTACTTAAATATTGGCACATCGCACTAAGAGGGTCAAGGAAATTTTTTAAAACTCAATTGTAGCTGAATCTTCCAAGTCCAGTTTATAATATGAACAAACACAACTAAATGGTATTTAGAGTGAAAAATTGACACAAATATGTCATAATTAAAGTTACAATCAAGATGTGATTAATTCCTAAGTCAGAATTAGGATGACTCACCTTACCAAAACACATGATAGCCTCTAGCCTCAAAACCATGACTTCCATTGACAAGGTCTCATCATGAATCAGTTCCTGAAGAAACATTTCAGTCTCATACTACTATCTGTTTTACTGAAAACTGGTACCCCATTTTGAGATTTCTTATTTTCAAGGTAGCAAAGTTACCTTTCTCCTCTTAGCAATGAATACTGACATGAATTCCTGAAATTATATCATTCTAAACCAAATGGGTGAATGTTGAAAATTTTAGGACTATCAGAATTATCAGGGTGACATGCAAAGCCTTCGATGACATTTAAAAAAGAGCAAATGACTGTGAAACTGCTTGGTGTTAAATGAATAGGAAGGGTTTTTCCTTTTTGTATCAAATCTTTGTGCTTTCCTGTCTCCTTTGGATGGTAAAGAAGTAAAGCTTCAAGTACATATCACTTGAGCCTCATCACAGACTTCCAATGCTCTAATTAAAAAAAAAAGAGAGGATCTTGATAACTGACAACAAGGATACTTTCATGGAGCTGTTCAAACAATGAATGACAGTGTGAGGTCTTCATATTCTTTTGTACTTCAAGGTTTCTCTTGTGAAGGCTATGATTTATTGCCATTATCCCTGTTTAAAGATATATTTGCACTTTGAGGCACACTGCATTCTTTGAAGTGGATATGCCCTGTCTCTCGGGCATGAGCTTCTGGACCTCCTGTGCCAGTAAGAAGTATGTTACAATTGCTGCACATCACATTCAACTTTCGAGTGTCAATGTAGCGACTGGATCCTCGAAGCTCACATGCCAATTCCTTGGCCTCCTCCAAGACCTGGTTGTCAGATAGAGGGAAGATCTTCCTCACTTGTTCACCATGAGGCTGTAAGAAGATATAGAAAAAATTATTTTAGAGTTTCAAATGAGAAAAGCCACTGGCTATTCCAATTTGTATGTAACACATGCAATTTCCATTACAGCAACACTAAAAAGATTTGTTCATGCACAGATTTCACTGCCTTGATTTTCACTTAATTGATTCTTTCATTGACCATTCACATATCATAAGGTACTGCACTTTTACTCAGATGGATGCATGGCTGCCCATTCACAGACTCATGGAGGTCTTTGGCTTTTTGCAAGCAGATACAATCTTAAAAACTTACTGTTGAGTAGGACTTGTAGAGAGCATCATAATGTATCCCATCATAAAGCAAAAGGACACGAGAATTGTGAAGCATGTCCTCTCCAAACTTGCTCACTGAACCACTCTGAGTATAAATCACATCTATTTCTACTTCAAAAACTCTTGAAAGTATAGCCAACTCGATGCCTCCTCCCCAGGATGTTTCACGCTTGATCCATTCTATGTAATCATCACGGGGACGTTCAAGGACAGCTTCAGGAAACTCATCTGGCTCAGCTTCGATATAATCAGACACCATATTTCGCATAGTTCTCACTGAGTCTTGCTCATTCTCCTTGCCTGTAATAAAGGTGACAATTTGATAAGGAGTACGTACTATATGAAATGAACTTTTAAATCTGAGTAGTACTGTTATGTAGTTGTTTGTTATGTTGTACATTTCAGAACTTCATGAAAAGAGAGCAGAATTGAATGCATCTGAGTACTAGTGATCTTGACCATCGTGATGATGCTGACTCAAAAGTGCTTCCTACAGCACAGGTTTGACAACTGTATCTCTCAATGAAGGGACATATTACCTTTTCATAAAACTTGATTAGCTGAGACAAAGAGCCAGTTCCAATGCTTAGGCAAGATCAGATGTTCAGAAAAGGTCTACAAAAACTTTTTATTGCTCACAGTCTAGTAGGAAGTGAAGGCTGGAGAAGAGACAGGCATTGTCTGCAGCAATTGACTTTCGAAGGAGAACACCCTTCCTGGTGCCATTATTGTGGCTTGTAGAAATTTCATTCACTTCTGGTGGAGCTTCATCCTCTTCTCTGAAGTGATTTGTTCCATGGCCTCCCCCTCCTTTTATAGGATGATGAAGCTTTGGCTGAGAAGAATTTTGAATGGGCTTCTTGGAGTCTCCAGCAGAATCTATTACTGGCAATCCCATGTTGCTGCCATCCCTGTGATTCTTGCCTGGTACAAGTCCCATATCACTCACATGTAAACACTCTTGATGAGCAAAGCCCAGGTCTCTTAGTGTCTTCTGGTCATCACACTTGGAGAAGTCAAAGTCAGGCCGAGATAAAGACTGGCGGATCACAAGGTGTGACAGGTCATACCCTGTGAGATCTGCAGCTTTCTTTTTGAGATCAGCCAATTTATTCAAGAGTGTCAAATCTGATACAATCCATTCTCTGTCCACTGCTCTTATTTTGAATCGGACATTCTCTTCACTCATATTGTATTCTGATCTAGAAAATGCAAATGGATTAAGAGTAGTGTCTATGAAATTGCAATCAGAATGCATGAAATATTGAACTTCCAAGTTAGATATGAGAGTACTTTCAGCCTAAATAGGCTGTAGAGGTAAATGCCTCACTAATGACCTTAAAAGTAATTGCATAAACGTATATAATACCAGCATACATTGTCTCAGAACAAATTCCACACTGATATATGCTATGCAACTAACAAAGACCATGTTCATATCAATTTTAAATATTGTAAGGATTCAATAGGGTGATAGACTATGACATTGTTGTGTTAAAATGCCATGCTTACACTATTGAATCTGATTATTCAGCAAGAGAAATGAACTGCATCTGGGCATGTGCTGTGTCACTTTTTCTGTCATCTAATAAACCAACAATGGAAGGGTAGAGTTAACATGGACCATGTTTGCTGATTCCACATCCAAGTGAGAGAGGGGGGGGGGGGGGCGGTCCCAGAGATTTGGGCATCACTGGTCCCTCATCACTTAGATTGCATTCTTTACTTCAATTTTATTTCATTAATTTTTCTCATAGTTGTTTGAATTGTATCCAGAAATGATGAAAGTTTCAAGTCTACAATTTTTTTAGATCATAAAAAAAAAGGCATGGACAAACTCAAACATACATTAGTAATTATCGGTGCCATATAAATTCATACATTTTTCATGTATTGAAATATGATTGCACATATATGAGGGCATTTATGGCTGAAGCATATGATCCATGTAAGGATTATTCATATATCAAACATACCTGGGCATTTAAAAGAATAAATATATAAAATAATTTTTTGGTTCCAGGGATGGGCTATGCATGTATGATGATATACATGGATTAAGTATATGATTTTTATAGAGGGCTCTCACTAATTGTAAATACATATTCAGCATGCATGCTTTCATGACAAAATATATTGCTAGAAATATATATATATATATATATACCATATGCATTTGGTAAAGCATACAATTTATGTGGTATGGTCATACCCCCAACATTGACATCCTAGGGATGTCCTCAAACTGGACAACTAGTCCCAAGGTCTTTATGGGATATTTTAAGAACATCTTCAGTTGGATGGTTTCCAACATCTCAAACAGGATGTCTTTGGGACTTCTTAGCAACATCTTTTGGACATCTTCCATTGTCATTGTCACCTTCAGTCAGGTGCATAACTTTGACAGTAGATGTCTCCCATGTGCCCTGATCTCCCACCTCAAATCTTTCACATTAATTTTTAAACTTGAAAAGAAAAGAAGTAAAGATTTTTGCATTGGTCATAAAATCATTCTCATTTCTTATAAACTCATACATGATTTTTCCATAGGGGGTTTCATTGCAAAAGAAGTGACAAACTCTGATAACTTGCATGGGCTCCATTCAGCATTGGAAAATTATAAAAATGTTCCATTACAGTGCATAGAGATATATTTTCTTACTTTTATTCTAATTAACTGAAGTTTATCCATGATTAATTCATAAAATGTATGAATCAAAATATACCATATAATACATATGATCTAAGTCATGAAATCAATTTTTCCTTCACTTCCAGAACCCATGAAATATTAACTTAAGAATGCACTTGAAATCAAATAGATGAGTTTTGACAATGCACCATTGTCCACCTCCAGAAAGTACTTATGAAGTCATTCCACTACCATCATAAATACAGGGTGGAGCAAAAGTCACTCTATAGTTGTTGAACATAGAACATAAGCTAATTTCTAACATCATATTGACCATTGTTTAAAAGCAAAAATACAAATAACAGAAAAATGATCAAGCAATGTAATTTCAAAAGCAACCAGCTTCATCCAGCAGTATTAGTCTGAAAAAAAAAGAGGACCAAATGATCAAAACAGCTACTTTCAGTATACAAGAACTGTATAATAACATTTTCCTCACCCTGTGTATCCAATTTAGGACAAGATGGATAAATTCTATGACATTCTACACCACTGATATTACGGCACAACAAACATATTGACAACAGCCTAATAAGAAGCATCTGTTTCCAGCTTTACTTTCCCAAAGTTAACCCCATTCCAAGACACTGTTGTCAAGGTCATTTAAGGAACACAGAGTAATCACAATTGTCATGAATAGCGAAGGGGCATGGTGATGTGCCATTCCCACAGAGTGAAATCACTTCCTGAGCAATGGAAGAACTGTTTCACAACTTGTTGGTGAAGCCCTTAGAACAGTATCAAGAATATGTAAATGTCAATCCAAAAGCACAGATGGATCTGAAGTGCTTTGCAAATGAAATTGTTCCACCAATAACATGGGTTCCATTGACCTAATGTCAATCCTCGAATGGGGGATATAGTCACCTCTTAGGATGCATAACGGAAATAACACTACAGGATGTACTACATGGTGCAAATTCATTTACATATAATTGCAGGCCTAAAGTCAGACCTCCGCGTCACTTTGTGATAGGAGAGGAAAAAAGTGCTCATGCTCGTACTTGGTCGCGATTAGGCCTATTTTTACGTTAGGAGGAGGATGAAATTGAAGCCGTAAGGATTGCTTTATATTATACTATACCAGTCATCAACGGCTAGGAAGACTGGCAGCAACGGAATACACACCACTACTGTGTTTTTCATTCGAGTCAGACACCTTTCACTTACTTCGACACTCATGCACGAGTGTTCGAGTCAAGTGAAAAATTGTCTGCCAAGTGCTAAACACTAGGACAACTGGAGTCCGCCATGACAACCCCTAGGTGAATCGAAGGAACGATAGATGTCTCTTAGCTATCCTGAAACTCTACTCAGAGATCAGAAAACGAGACTGCCCGTGCGTCGAACCTCTTACTTGCTTGTTGGAGTACAGTCGGCCAGAATAACTTCAGAATGCAATATCCTGCAACATAGTCCAACTGTACTCAGCGATAAAAGTCGATCTGAAGCTTTAGAACGGTAAAATGAACGCGATCCTCAATGGTTCTCGCGTCCGCGTCGTGAGGTTGAACGGTGGGTTGATTCCCACCATTTCGGAAAGCTATAGTAACCCAGGAGTGTCATGATACAGGAACTTCTGCTTAAGGTGACCAGACCAAAGAGATAGAAGATAAAGAGCGTGCACTCCCCCTGGCTTGGGTGAAATCGTCATGCTGTAGCGCAGGCGCACTGGCTAACTAGCGGAAAGGTTGGAGAATCACTATCCCTTCCATATATCCTCAATTGACGATCGTTGTTTTTGAAAGGATTAAAATAGAAATATATGCATAATTTAACATCTATGAAAGCACTGTAATTCTTCTCCCGTAAGGAAGATATCCCCGTGGAACGTCCCTGCATCACTGAAAAAATTTCTCACCCTGCTATGTCGCGAGTTTACGAAATACCAGCTGTCCCGTGTTTCATGGCTGGGTGTCTTTCCTTATTAGGGGAACAATTCCAGATTCAGCAAAATAATTTTATTTTCCGCAATAAACGCCTATTTTACAAGATAGACAAAGGTACCAAAGGTAACTAACCAAAAGGTAAGTAAAGGTTGCTAACCAGACTTTAGGTTTCTACAGTCTAAAGGCGGCCACGAGAAACCAGTTTCACAATATTTTCGCAGTGTGTGCCGAAATACTAGTTTCGCGAAATCAGCTTCTTAATTTCGTGCAATCGACTTTTGGTTTCGCAGCTTTTCTATTCTTCATTCAGTTTCTGAGAAACTGAAGGTGACATGGGAGGAGAACTTGCATTGCGTTGGTGCGCGTTCGAGAGAGTTTGGAAATGCCGATCGCGAAAAGTATCACAATATCGGTCATCAGGTCGAAATCAGGTCGCAGAAGCTGGGTGAAATTGTAAAAATACTGAACATCAGTCGAAATGAGGTGGGAAAGAAATGGCACTCCTAGAGGGTTATTTTATGGAGTGGAGAAAAAAAATGGAAACCTCAAAGAATTCAGGCACATGTAGACGCAGGATACAAGCCAAAAATTAAATGAAACTATTTCTCCGATAGCTTGACTTGAAATACCATAGGAATATCCGGACTCGTGTAAGATTTTCCAGTGAAAGAACAGAAAAAAATATACAGTTGATAAATCTGTAGAGGACGACCATGCATTGATCAATATGTAAATAAATTGTAACTTACCGGTTGCCAGGAAACTGAATGTCGCAACCAAGAGAATATTAGCAGGTAAAGAAATTCTCATGATTGAACTTTGTTCGCTGCTTGCTAGCTTAACCGTATGCAGCAGCTCCGCGAAGCATTGTGGACTCATCCACAAAGAATTAATTAAGAGCTCTGGATACTCTGATAGCAGGTCTCGAATTAAAAATGACTCATAACCATGACTATACCATGCACGTCTCCAATTGTTCATCAGGCTTCCCTTTTTTAAATAAAAAAATTTACGGCTTGCTTGAGCAATAAAGATAACTGCTGGGGGGGGGGAAATCACTTCTAGGCATGGAGAGAAGCTGGGAAACTGTTTTCAGTGAAACTAGTTTCATCCGTTTCCGCGAAACTGATTTAACTCCTCCAATGCGTCAGTTTCGATTCCAAACCCATGCTTTCATCCTTTATCGTGCCAGTCTAATTTTTCTGCACGTGACATCTCCGATAAATAAGAAAGATTTTCGCAGTTTTTCGAAAAACTCTAATATTCCCAAGTTGACGTACCGCAAATCGCAGCGAAGAAGCAATCCGCACGCCTCTGCTCCTCATCGGCCCTCCCCAACATGGCGGAACTTTGGCGGCAGGCAGTCTCAGTCGGGTGCTGATAAGGGATATTTTTTACGACTGAATTGACACCCTTTCATTTGTAAAATGGGAAACAATCGTATTTATACAAGTGAAAAATTCCTCCAGGACAATTTGATCTAAGAAGAGAGCCTGCCATCTCCACTCAGTCTTGTTAGAGCGAGCCTAAGTGACGTACCTGGGGAGAATCAGCGAGGAAATCGCTTCTCCACGGCGATTTTTGATACTTTGGCTAAGAAAAGTTATTACGTTTGATTCAGGGAGAGAACTTTCTTAAAACTTTGCAGGGGTATTTCTTATTCATCTAGTATGTCTGGTGCAGAAAAGCCTCACATGATATCAGATGGAGACATTAAAAATAAATAAACTGATGCCTCTTCTGAGACAATGTGTGACTGCTTGAAAAATGCTACTAGCACTCAACCCATGGACTCAACATGGACAACTCATGGAACGATGATTCCAGAAAGATTCTCCTGTTTTTTATTTATTAACACTGTATTGTTGCACAACAAGCCCCAGAACGAGACGCGACTGAGCTTCTCCACCCTTTCCACTAGAGCGTCAGCGTCGCACGCACCAGCCATCGTCATTCCACCTGGTACCAGGTGACCGTGAGAGAGTGCACACTCTTTATCTTTTTTCTCTTTGGACCAGACGATCCAAGTCGCAAGCAGCGACTATCGAAAGGCTAGCGGGACTGTGCAATCCGATCGTGCTGACATTCTGCGGTAAGGAGCTGAAACTAATGGAAGAAGCTCGTAAGAGACGACTAGAGATAGTCGGCCTTGTATCGATCAAGAAAAAATTTATCGGTCCCATCGCCCTTTTTCTCAGATAGACTGGAGCGCAGTAGACCCAACTATGTTTGCTCAAGCGGGAGGGGGGATACTAATTAATCCTGGGCTGACTGACAGATTGATCGAATGGATATCAAACAGCGTGCGAGTCGCTCTGATCCATCTCGGATTGGAACTAGTCGGGGTCTTGGCTGCCGTTCACGTCTGTGGACCAAACAACGTGTCGGACTACAGTGCGTTCCTCGAAGAGATGGATGGAGTCCTACAAGGGGGGGGGGGGGGGGGTGATAGGTCGTTTTGGAGAAGCCGCAATGAACAATTGGAGACGTGCATGGTATAGTCATGGTTATGAGTCATTTTTAATTCGAGACCTGCTATCAGAGTATCCAGAGCTCTTAATTAATTCTTTGTGGATGAGTCAGGGGGGGGGGGGGGGGGGGGGGGGGGGGGAGGTGATAGGTCGTTTTGGAGAAGCCGCAATGAATGAGAATGATAGATACATTGTAGTTACCAGACTTCCGTGCTGGGAGTGGCCCTACCATTACCAACATCTTCTTCCACCACAAGTATTGATGGCGCAAGGGATCGGACAGTCAGATCGGAGCTGTAGCCAGCAATCGTTGATC